CAAGATGTATTTTTTTTTAACATCTCCCCAACGCAAAAAATACATCTTGAAAAATAGTTCGCGGTACCCGCTGCTTCATTTGACTCGGTGGTGATGTAATGTGTAATGACGCTATACACCCACAGTCCTTTGTCTTCTGAGTAAAGGGATTCTATTTATGATTACTTCTTCTTAGTGGGCTCGAATGACCGCGAGAATCTTGTGAAATAAATACGATTTTCAGCATCTCTTCGTTAATTGACCCCCTTCGGTTTTGCAGCGGATACTTAACGAAGTTCTTGATTTGCAAGGGCACTTGGGACCTCATTTGGAGTTCGCGTCATTTGTTTTAGTCACAGCGGGTAAAAATGAAAGTTCTCTTTCCCTTCTCCAAATATCAGCTTGGTGACTTACGTCATTCCTTACGAGGAAGTTTAATTAGGTCTACTAACGGACTTCCTGGCTAATAAGTGTGATTGTTCAACGGACATACGCCAACACGGGCGGATCCCAGTGCTTTAATTAATGGACTTTCGATTAGAAGGGAAAAGGCTGTAGGCAGCCACGAAATCTATGCCTGAAAAATCTTTAATATGCTCTGAATCTGAAAGCTTCATTTTGATTCATACTATTATATATTCAATGACTAGAGAAGAAAAACGTCACGATAAGAGTAGCTGAATTCTTTCGAACCGTGGTTTAAATGCCATTGCATTGTTAGTGATTATTTCTATTAAATCACAAGGAAAGGGCGGACGCTAACAAACCCTGCCGGCGCCAGCTACTTCAGAAAAACTATTACAATCTCAAGGATTGTTTGTCTTCTTTGCTAAGATATTTCTTATCAATTCTCTCTTCAGGTCAACCTCGTATTCTGAGAGTCAACTTGCTCTCATCCGACACAGATAGTCCCTTGCGTCTGAGTTTCCTGCCATAATTGATTTAGTAAAGAACTTAGGGACTCAGTGTGATTGAAATCCTAAGGTTATACAAACTACTACAGGCGTACAGATTTATTTCGCTTCATTTTGTTCTGTCTTTACACCAGCGAGGTTTCTAGTTATTTACATGGATGACCCGCTGTTCCAATACTAGACACTCAAAAGCGACCAGTCAAAACAAAAACCTTGCTTTTTTATCTTTGCTTTCTGTTCGTAATACCCCTAGCCCTCAGCAGTACAGTTAAAATCTTTTTAGTACAAGGTTGATTTCCAGCCAGTTTGCCAAAATCCTTAGCCTTTCTGTCAAGGATGGTTGTTCTGGCTTCAGGACCCTGATAAGTAAGATTTGAAGCTTTGCATGGGGGAAGTTACGTGAGATGTAGGCTTGTGGGTACACCGTGGAATCAATCTCTTTGGGAAGATGTGTGGTTCTGAGAAGAACCGTTGAGTGTTAACTCGATATTTGGGCCAGGATGCTCTACCCGTCCTCAGGAGAATGTGCCGGACTCGGGAGAAGAGCTAGGAAACCGGCAGGAACCGCGCTACCAGGCTCCAACAGCACCGTAATATAACCTTTATAACCCAGCTCTCCACTCCAGTCCGACACACTGTCCCGAGAACGGCCAAAGCATCCTGGCCAAAACGTCGAGTTAACACTCACCAGTTCTTCTAAGGACCACACCTCTTCCCAAAGAGATTGATTCCATAGTGTACCCACAAGCCTGTATCTAAGGATCCTGATGTAGATTGAGTTTTTCTAAATTTTGTGTTCGCTCATCTTCCACTCTGAAGTACCTTGACAATCTTGCAGGGCACCCATCCAGTCCTAAGATTTGTGTAAGCTACTGCACATAGCACTGATTGCTAAACGACGTTCTTAATAGCGCCTGCAAAATTTGTCTTGGCCAAAGATTAGACTGGATTTGTATTGATTTGTCTCCAGATTGCGCTGGAGACATGCGCTGGCCGCAAGTACAACCAAATAATGGTACCAGTAGAGGGCGCTTCATTCAAGAGAGACGAACTGTTCCGAAATCACCGACATAAAAAAACGTACTGCGGAAAGCACGTGCACGTTGTCAGTGGTTGACACTTTAAAGAACATTCCAAAAAGCGCCGCTTTTTTGAGCAAACAATACCACAAAAAAATGACAAGCGGTAACCTTTGAGAGCAGAAGAATACAGCAAGAGAGGAACTTTCCAAACGAAAAGGGTCACTTTATTTAACATTAAAAAAATTTCCGTGAAGTGTGCTTGTCTGTAAGGCAGAAAGTGCTGAAGAGGTTCTTTACACTGCCGTTGAAATCGTCAAATAATGTAAGTGACGTGTGAAGACAGTGTACAGTTACTGTACATTTTATTTGTTACTGCGCAGTCAATTATCAAAGCGCAGTGCAATCGCTTGTAAATGTTTATTTGACAAAAGTGTCACCTGTTCCTCCTCACTGGGGACATAAGTCCTCTCGCCAATTTGTCTAGCTTCTCGTTTCCATGGTTGCCTTGCTGCAACCAGTGAATGTACTTAACGAGCCAATCTCGCATGATTGGCTACAAAGCAATAAATGTTGCCTTTTGCGGCTGCCACTCTAATTGCTTTTTGTTTCCAAAGTCTCATGTCGCTTATACGAGTGTTGAAATCGTGCATTTTGTTCTACGTATTTAATGATAAGTGTATGCATTTCTTTCATTCGATTTTCTGGTGGGGATTATTTTTGTCGAAGAGTAGGAGAACCCCTTTGTACATTAATTTTCGAGAGTCTTGTCTGGCAACCAGAGTAATATTCTCCCTGAGGCTATTCACCTGTTGTCCTGGCGTCCCAGACTTATCCCGTCTCCTTCCTTGGAAGGAGACATTTTCAACAAAAGCATAATGTCTATGTTTTAAGAGCCTTAAGTAGATAATTTTTTTCCAAATAGGCTCTTGAGGCTTTCAAACAAAAGGTGAATGACCCATGGCGGAACAGTATTCGTCGTTTTTCCTATGGTATGTGTATTCCTATCAAGCACTTTATACATGTATGACCCTTGCAGTCAATCTCCATTTCACTCGCGGTGGTTGATCAATAAATCAAAAGTAATCCAACACGAATAAAGGCGCTAATTGTAATGAATTGACCATGGAATCACGCTGAGCATGTCATCGAGTCTGCGATTTAATTGAGTTGGTGTTCTCTGAAATGCGGTCTCGGGAAATTTCATCCCACAGTAGACTAATAAGATTGCGGACTTCAAACAGACCTCCGCTTCAATATTTTAATGACCTCCTCCCAGATGAATGCCGACAATTGTCTTTTATAAGTGTAGAATAGATGTCATCAATTTCGTAGGATGGATTTCATCAAAGATCTTTGACATCGATGTCACTTCAGAACATGTTTCAGATGCATAGAAAACGTTTGACACCTCTTTATGTTTAATATCAGCTAAAACTGCCTTTTTAAAACAATGCTTCCTTGTTTTCAGTTCCTGATGAATATTTTTACATTTGGCTAGCTGGAAGAGAAAGGTGCATTTTCAATTATTACATGGTTTCTGTTGGCTTTTACATTGGTAATGTATGAAATGCATCCTTCAAAACGTACAATCTGACATTGATGAATATCACGAGGATCTCATCTTAGCTGGTTGCCATTATATTGATGCAGATTGCTCTCCAATCAGCTCTGTCTACTCATCGTTGTCTGTGTCCTAAAATATGTCGCCCATAAAAAATTTCCACATCCTCCTGGTTATTGCCCTAAGTACAGTGCGTGAAACTGGTCTGCAATAAGTGCCTGAAATCCACTTATCGCTGTACTCTCTAACTGCTTTACCTTTTCATCAAGCATCTCCCCTTGTCACCATTATTCATCACTGGGTCTTTGTTATATCTTTTGGACATCACAGTCTGAATAAAGTTCAGCGGCATATCCCCAGCTTTCTGCTCGCTGTGTGCGGCTGAAACATTCTGGCGTGCAATTAAATTTCAATTAATTAAATACTTGTCTTCTTTGTGAAGGACTGGTTTTTTTTTAAAGCACGTGATATGTCTACCGATATTTAATACCATTTTCATGTCACTTTTGCGACAAGCGACAAACTATCAAGGTCTCTTGCCTTTTGAGAAAGTGCAGTTACATCGCTAGATATATCATAATTTTTGAATCTGGAATTAATGAACGTTGTACTTTGAGAAAATAAATGCCCTTTAAGAAACCTTTAACTCGGACATTTTTATATCCATTTCTCAGGACTATGAAAATATGGAGACACTCCTAACGAGACAAAAGCACTGGCGCTAATCAGCGATTAAGTGCAAGAGAAACGAGATACCTAGACACTGTGCTCGCTTGGGTTCACAGCATCTCCTCAACTACAGCGATCATACATAGACTTTCACGCCTCTGGCTTGGATGCAAATGCGCGAAATTCATCCAAGAGACATGAAATCGCCGCTCGAGTCGTTAGTCAGGCATGCATTACCCATAAGTTACCGTACCTCGTTCCCCCCGCCTCCGGAGTAACCAAGACATGCGACATCGACACTCACCATTTCAAGGGGCACATACCGCCCGTTAGCGTTCATACACAACCTGAAGCCTGAAGACTGCGTGTTCTTGAACTTTTATTATCAATAGTATTAAGACTAATGACACAGTCCAGAGCACTGACTTTATATTATATTCTTGACTACATAGATATTTGTTTCAATAATCTTAACATGTAGTTCATAATTAGGACTATAGAGCGATGCTCGAAGTTGAGCGGTCGCTAAAGTGGCTTGTGGGACATTTGAGATATTTCAAGCTGCACAACGCATTGTAATACCCTTTTGTTCATAGCCGGTTTATGGTGAGTATT